AAGAACAAACAACATGCAAGATTTTAAAACAAAGTACATGGCTCTTGGAAGTATGCATTCAGCACTGTAGACAATTCATAAACACCCCAGTGTGTGGATCACAAATATCTGGAGTTCTACTCCAGATGCTGGGCCAGTGTCACCAACAGGATACCTGTTACTCCTGAGAATTTCCTGTTTAAACTCAGCTCTGAATCTTTATAAGTTCCTTCCTAGAGCAGACCGAAATTTTTATTCATTTTAATAAAAATATATGTATTCAGCCCTGACCAGTTTGGTTCAGTGGCTAGAGCGTCGACCTGTGGACTGAAGAGTCCCAGGTTCGATTCCGGTCAAGGGCATGTACCTTGGTTGCGGGCACATCCCCAGTAGGGGGTGTGCAGGAGGCAGCTGATGGATGTTTCTCTCTCATGGATGTTTCTAACTCTCTATCCCTCTCCCTTCCTCTCTATAAAAAAATTAATAAAATATATTTTAAAAATATATATGTATTCAAATAAAACATAGTTATTATTACTAATTTTTATTTGACAAAGCTTCCCATGTAATTTTTCAAGTATATTAAATAGGCCTAATTAGTTTAGAAACTTAGGAGAGAGAATGAGTCCTTGAAATATTTCAGGGCCCATTGAAATAACTCAGTCATTTCTCTATTTTTTTTTTAAAAAGTCTTTTTAAATTTAAATTTTGGGCCCTAGCTGGTTTGGCTCAATGGATAGAGTGTCAGCCTGTGGACTGTAGGGTCATGGGTTCAATTCCGGTCAAGGGCACATACCTCAGTTGCAAGCTCAATCCCCCGACCCTGTTGGGGCATGTGGGAGGCAACCAATAGATGTGTCTTACATCGATGCTTCGTTCTCTTTGTCTCTCCCCCTCCCTTCCACTCTCTCTAAAAATCAATAGAAAAATATCCTCACAGGATTAACAAAAAAAAAGAAAGAAATTTAAACTTTGGGAAGGTTGTCAAATATACTTAACCAAAAGATCCTATATAATAAAATCTTAATATGCAAATGAACCAAATGGTGAAACAACTGGTCACTATGATGCACTCTGACCACTAGGGGGCAGACACTCAATGCAGGAACTGTCCCCTGGTGGTCAGTGCGTTCCTACAGGGGGAGTGCCGCTCAGCCAGAAGCCAGGCTCACGGCTGGCGAGCACAGCAGCAGTGGCAGGAGCCTCTCTTGCCTCCACTGCAGTGCTAAGGACCCCTTGGGGAATGTCCACCTGCTGGCTTAGGGGAGCGGGCCTAAGCCGGCAGGTGGACATCCCCTGAGGGTCCTGTACTGTGAGAGGGTAAAGGCCGAGCTGAGGGACCACCCCCACTCCAGTGTACTAATGTCATGCACCAGCCTCTAGTTATATTGTAAATCTAGGTAAAACAAATGTATATATTATGGTAATAACTTTAAAGGTTATTAATTAAACTTAAACTGGTTTTAATATTAAATATTTTGTCTAGATTATAGGATCCTACTTAATTTATATAATATTTAATCTCTGTAGGCCAATAAAACATTATACCCTAGTGGTGCCATCTGGAGGCAGAAAACACATATAACATACAGGCAAATACATGAAGACCGTACCCATGATTTAAATTATTAATATTTGTAGAGAAGACATAGTGCAACCTTAGGAAAGGTCTCAGGAAAGGGCTCAATAGAATATTCATCGGCTTTCTAGGTGTGCTTTTTCAGGGTCATGGTCTCCACTGACTGGTCAGTGCCAGGGCAGGGGGTCATTAGTCAATTTTGCTGGTCCTGAGGCAGCCACGGCATCACTCGTCTGGTTTTGCTGCTTTTCTGGGCCTGGAGCTGAAATATGACTGAGGCCTAGATGTTATCTTTAGAGAGGAAAAGGTCGGAGTGGGCTAAACCGCCTGACCAGCAATATGTAAGATCAGGGGTCCAAACCGCATGACCAGTGACATGCTACAGGAGGATAGGGGATCCTGGGGACAACGTTCTTGTTTTCCCAGTTTTGCCCCTTGCTGGGCATCTGGAGCTTTCTGCCCTGGCCAGTTTCTGTACCTGGCCAATCGTCCTTGCTCTGGTGATCTAACAGTTACTTTCCGTGGAACCCCAATTTTTTAATTTTTTTATTTATTTTTGGTCCACAACTCCCACCAAGAGCAACCCACGGATCCATTTTGTCACATGATTTTAGCCACCACTCAACTTGAAAATTTCCTGTGTATCAATAATATGCTGTGTGCTTTGACTCGATTGCCTATCAACCCTACACAGTATTATTATTATCCCCATTATGCAGAGGAAGAAACTGAGGCACAGGGGTTTATGCAAGGTGCCTGAGGGCGAGGGGTCCACAGCCAGGTCTCAATTTCGGCTTTACTGCTTCCACCCACCAAGGCCAGCACTCTGGAGACTGTGGCCAAGGTCTCAGGACCTGGCAACCCCAGGTCCTTGGTCCTTTGCCCTTTCTGTTCCTTCTTCCTAGAATGCTCTTCCCTCACCCACCCCCACGCCCACTCCCAACCTGGCTAACGCAGTCTCCTCCAGAAAACGTTCCTAACCAAGTCCCCTGTGAGTCCCCCTGTCCTTCTCAGGAGAACTTTGCACATTTCCCAGTTTACTGTCATCCCAAGAGCTGATATACTCCCTTCCCACCTCCTGCTCCAGCTAGTGAGAGCGGGTGGCCAGAGACCACATCTGGCTGGTTAGGATGGAATCCCTGGCTCCGTACCGCAGCAGACCCTCACTAATATTCACCAACAGGATGAAGCCGGAATGAGCGAGGGAGCCGGAATGCCGTCCCACCCTCCCATTTAGAGGCATGAAGGTGGGATCCAAGCTAAAGGTCCAGAAAGTCCCCTTCCCCAATGTCAAGTGGTGCATGGGAGTTGCTTGGTGACTTTGGTTGTGTAGTGGGGATGTTTGAGAATTCTGCAAGGATACAGGCTCAGTTGAGACGCAGGCTCCATCACAGACTCTAGGGAGGGCGCTGTGGTTCCCCATGTCCTAATGAGCCTTTATTGCCTGTCCTGGCCCAGTGCAGGCGGGGAGGGGGGCCACCATGGCTACATAACAAATGCTGGTCTCCCTTCTTCTCACCAAGGACAATAGGCCCCCAGCGTGGAGGAAAGGCCCTTCCCTGGAGGCCCTGTTGCATAACATTTCCCAGGCTCGGAGCCTGAAGAGGCTTACAACTCCAGCATTAGTTACATCAAGAGTTTCTTAGGGAGCGTGCATTACTCGAGAGGAGGCACGTCCTGTGGGAAAGATGGTGTGGGCATCCTCCAGCCCTCATGGCAGGTGCTAAACTGTCATGTCGGACAGGTCAGGATGGATCCGGGCGCTGCGCATGCCCCACCCCAGACAAGGGGAAATGCCTGACACTGGCATGTTTGTGGGGCAGGGCACCAGCCTGCTCCTGGAGCCAGCACGTGTGGAGCACAGGGGAGGGGTCGATGGGTCTGGGGCGGGGCAGGGGATGCGGATTTAGGAGAAGCGGTCTCCCTTGGGTGGCATCTGGCATCTAGGTATAGGATCTGGCCCCAATCACATCTTAGAACAGTCTCCTCCACACTCCCCCCGCCCCATCTGCCCCCCTCACACCCCCTCACACCCCCCTCGGGCCAGTTGCGGGATCAGCAGATTCTTGCTGTAAAACTTTCAAATACCCTCGCTTCACCGCGCCCTGACAACTTCGCAGAACTCCTGTTCCGTCACCAAAGACACTGCGGCCAGGAGAGCTAACGCCTGGAATACCGTCAGCTGGAGGAGAGAGCGCCTTCACCCCAACCCCAGCGCCATCTCCCCAGCCCCTTCACCCCAGGAGAGTCGGGTGTGAGTGCCTGCACCTCCCGTCCCATCCCCCGGCTCTGAGAAACCGCCGCTGCCCTCCCGCCCGGTTTCCTGCCCCGCCCCTCGGCGCTATTTAAGGCCTCCAGGCGCGGTCCCAGCCTCCAGGCGAGGTCCCAGCAGGGCTCCCCGGGCGCCGCTGGGCCACCGCGCGTCCCCACCAACACCTGGGCCGCCTGGCAGGCAGGCGGTGAGTTGCGCTTGGGGCTGGGGGCTGCTGCGCAGTGCGGGGCGTGAGGGCGGTGGGGTGCGAACCACTTTAGCGGCGTTCATCCAGTCTGCTAGTGGCCAGGCTTTGTGCGAAGCAAGGTTCCTATCTTCTTTCACTTATAACCTCGGGAGGCAGGAATAGTATTGTTTCCATTTTACAAGAGAGGTGCTAAGGGGTTGTCACATAAGCGAGGTCTCCCATTTGTAAGAGGGAGTCAGGATTGGAACCCAGGTCTGGTTCCTTTGCTCCTCCTTCCCCTACCTCCCCTGCCCCAAGATGTTCTGGGAACCTTGCGGCCTGTGCCTCTCCCCTGCTATGACAATTCAATAGTCGAATTTGGCAGCAACAGCGTGGGGGGTCTTGGGATGGAGGAAGCCCGCAGGATCAAGCGTCATACTTAGTGCGGGTCCCTATTGCTGGCAGGTGGAGCTCGTGCAGGATGCTGACGCCCCTCCTGCCACAAACTCCAAAGTTAGAATGAGACCAGAGGAAGGGAGTAGGGACCGAGGCTTTGGGCACCCTGAGAAGCTGAAGATAGCACCACCACCCCCTCCCTCTGTCTGGGGACAGCCTGTCCCGGACAAAAGGGACGAGGGACATGGCACAGCTGTGTGACCTTCCTTGGACACGTTCCTCAAATTCTCTGTTCCCATTGGCTCAGGAGCCTCAGTTTGATCTGAATCTTTTTTGGGCTGTGGTCATCCTGGGACTCTGGCTGGGAACAAGAGGGACACGGATGTGTGCGACTAGACAGGACCTTTGCCAGAGCTTAGCAGCCATCCTCCAAAGATCTGCTTTGAGTCCTGACCACCCTGCTGGGCGTGAGCCCTCAGGCCAGTCCCTTCCCCGCCCTGCGCCTCAGTTTCCCTGTAGGTAAAAGGGCATGGCCCGCCCCGCTGCGGGCTTGTTGCTCGGCCGGCTGAGAAGGTGCCATGCTGACCGTGTTTTCTGTCTCCCTGCAGACAGAAGCCCAGGAGCCATGGGTGACTGGGGCTTCCTGGAAAAGTTGCTGGACCAGGTCCAGCAGCACTCCACTGTGGTGGGCAAGATCTGGCTGACAGTGCTCTTCATCTTCCGCATCCTCATCCTGGGCCTGGCCGGTGAGTCCGTGTGGGGTGACGAGCAGTCGGATTTCCAGTGCAATACGGCCCAGCCGGGCTGCCCCAACGTCTGCTACGACCAGGCCTTCCCCATCTCCCACATCCGCTACTGGGTGCTGCAGTTCCTCTTTGTCAGCACGCCCACGCTGATCTACCTGGCCCACGTCATTCACCTGTCTCGGCGTGAGGAGCGGCTGCGGCAGAAGGAGGAGGAGCTGCGGGCACTGCCGCACAAGGACCCCTGCGTGGAAAGGACGTTGGCAGCCATAGAGCGTCAGATGGCCAAGATCTCAGTGGCCGAAGATGGCCGCATGCGGATCCGAGGGGCGCTGATGGGCACCTACGTGCTCAGTGTGATCTGCAAGAGCATCCTAGAGGCAGGCTTCCTGTACGGCCAGTGGCGTCTCTACGGCTGGACCATGGCGCCCGTGTATGTGTGCCACCGCGCACCCTGCCCCCACTCTGTGGACTGCTATGTCTCTCGCCCCACCGAGAAGACCATCTTTATCATCTTCATGCAGGTGGTCGGATTCATCTCCCTGCTGCTCAACCTGCTGGAGCTGGTGCACCTGCTGTACCGCTACCTCACACGGAGACTAAAGGCCCAGCAGGGCCAGCATGCCCCCCTCGCTCAGGGCACCACCCCGGAGCCCTACGCTAACCAGGTCTTCTACCTCCCCATGGGCAAGGAGCCCTCATCCGAGCCATGTCCCGTCTACAGCGGGCTCTCATCCAGTGAGCAGAACTGGGCCAACCTGACTACAGAGGAGAGGCTGGCTGCTTCCAGGCCACCCCCCTTCCTGGACCCGTACCCTCAGAGTAGCCAGAAATATCCCAGCAGCCATGCTTCTAAGAAACAGTATTTGTAGGAACCTGGGACTTATGTCACCCAACAGCGGGGCCTGGGAAGTCTGGCTGCCTTGGGTGCCCCCTCCTTGAAGGCTCTGCAGAGATGACGAGGGCGGGGGAAGCGGGTGCTTGCTGGCTGTGGGGCCTTACCATCAGTTGTTCTTGGACACCTGGGACCTTCCTGGTGACCAGACAACACCTCATGGTTTCCCCTCCAGAACCTGGCTTTGCCGCAGGCACAGACAGAGCCAGATCGGGGTGCTCTTGACCGAAGGCTTCGGCCCTCTGGCCTTTTTCACTTTGTTCAGAGGGGCCCGAAGCCAAGTTACTCCACTCCCACCGTCATGGAAGTTTCTCCTCCACCCAGATTGTCCTCACACCCTCTCCTCGCAGGAAGAGGCTGGACCAGGCTGCTGGGTAGGCCTGGATTACACACACAGAGCCCTGTCAAGGAGGCCGGCGTCTTGTTCTCATCACTCCTTCCTGGTTCCACTGTTTATGCTTCTAAAATAAACAGAACTTGATCACAAGCTAGGTGTGTATATTGACGCTGTCGTGATGTGCATCAGGGTGGGAGCTGAGGGGTGGCCTTGCTCTCCCCAGGCTTTCTTTGCTTTTCTGTCCTGGATAATCCGTCTTTGGCCTCTGCAACCCCAACTCCAGGGAGCACCTTTCACCTTCCAACTCATACACCCCACCTCGCAGCAGCCCTGAGTCCTAAACATTCTGCCTTTTGAAATGCCTCAGGTACCATCCTCTTTCATCCTCTGCCTCAGCCCCTCAAGCCAAAGCAGTGTCTGTCCTCAGCCTGCCCCGTGGCCATGGAGTGCCCCAGCCACTCCACCCCCTGCCGTGTGCTTCCCCCTGGACACACACACCCTGCTCCCAACGCTGCTGGCCAGCTGAGCCCTTCGCAGTCCAGCTCAAATGCACCCCATCCCACCTCATCCTGGGCCCCTTGGTATTCGAGGAGGAGGGTTTAGATCACTTGCCCCTCCAAGCGTGGCCCTTTCTACCCACCAGAAGGAGCAACTCAAACCTGCATCATGTCTCCCACCGCCTAAAACTCACTCAGAACAGACAATGGCAACAGAGAAAGGTGGGAGGGATGGTGGAGGAGCTGAATCTTGCCTCTAAGTCACAAATGTTGCAGGAGAAAATGAACAATTGAACTGGATCTTGACGGGTGAATAGGAGTTCGCTGAGGAGGAGAAAACACTGAGTATTCAGGCAGAGAAAAAAGTTCGTGCAAAGGTATGGAGGAGGGGAAGGGTCAGGTGGTTGTGGGAGGTGCTTAGGGCCTGGTGAGCCCTCTAGGAAATGGGAGGAACAGCTGAGGATGAGCCCAGCGTTGGTAGAGTTGACCTTCCATGTGGAAGATGACCCAGGTAGAGGGAACGCTCAGGTAGTGGCCCGTGGAGGCAAGCTGGTCGTTCTCCCCTACCCAGGGAGATCTGGAGCTGGGGTTGGAGGAGGGAATGGGGGTCCATCTCACATGGTCACATGCTTCCCATTAACAGCCTTTACAGCAAGTTGGCAACTTGGCCCCTTGCCCATCAAAATAGGTCTCCAAGCCCAGCCGGTGTTGCCCAGTGGTTGAGCTTTGACCCATGAACCAGGAGGTCACATTTCAATTCCCGGTCAGGGCACAGGCCCAGGTTGTGGGCTCGATCCCCAGTGTGGAGCGTGCAGGAGGCAGCCGATCGACAATTCTCTCATTCATGTTTCTATCTCTCTCTTCTCCCTTCCTCTCTGAAATAAATAAAAACAGAGATAGGTCTCCAAAACACCAGCTCTGTATCCCTCACCCCAGAACTCATTCACTCACTACTTAACCATCAAGTCTGAATGCTCAGCCTGATAAATGACCAGCTCTCTTACTCTTCCAGCTTCAGTCCCCATTGTTCCCTCCGAATCCCTGAGATCCAATAGCCCAGTGTTCTCCTGTCTCCCCAGACTCATCCAGTATGTCCCCACCCTGCTCCTTTGACAACCTGGAGTACCTCTTCTCATGCACTTCTGAACTTCATCAGTCCTTTAAACACTACTGGACCCTGGCAAAGGCAGAGCCTGGATGCAGAAGAAAGAGTAAGATGAGCCGTGACATCAGAGGGTCCTCAATTTAAACCATGCCTCTAACATGTACAAAGCCATGTGGTCTTAGGTCAATCATTTCGCTTCTCTGAGACTCCATTTTCTCATCTATAAAATTTAGATAATATCACCTGTGTCACAAGGGATAAGAAATAAAAATAAAAAAGCATATGAGTATGCCTGGCGCCTAGAATGCATGCAATAAAATTCACCTCACCCTCTCCAGCAAAGCCATCATAGGTTCTTTCTCCAGGAAGCCCTCCCTGACTTCCCCAGCCAGTCTCCAGTGATGATCTCTACCTCTCAGGAATCTGGACCACTGCTTAGTATGTCTATTTCATCTCCCCAGTGAAGCTCTAAGAATCACCAGGGAGACACTTATATTCCCCCTGGGCCTAGCCCTGCCTTCACTTTGGCTATCGATGGTAAGGTATTGAGTGAGACTGGGCAGAAAGTAGGCTGCTCACTTATTGGAAGGGCATGATCCAGGAGGCTGAGGTCCTTTTCTAAAGGATCCGTCCCCAGCCAGGGTGAGAGGCCTTGGGGCTGTGGTCAGTAAAGGCCCACGTATGGACTTTTGGCAAGGCTAGGGTTGAGACCTAGGCCGGTGCCAATGCAAACACAAGAGCAAATGGGCTGGGACTGAGGAGGGGGGAGGGGTGGTGTTTAAGGGCAAGGATAGTGTATTGGGGATAGAGGGCCACACAGAATGGTGTGGGGGCAGTGCTGCAGGGAGAAGACATCTGGTGAGGAGTGGCTGTCAGCGTCATCCCACCGGTATTCATTTCCTAGCGCTGTTATAACACAGACTAGGGCCTTCAAAAACAGATACTTATTCTCTCACAGTTCGGGAGGCTGGAAGGTCGAGGTGTGGGCAGGGTTGGTTCCTTCCGAGAGCTGTGAGGGAGAATCTGTTCCATGCCTTTAGCTTCTGGTGGGTGGCTGGTGTTCCTTGGTTTATAGAAGCATCTCCCCATCTCTGCCTTCCTCTTCACACATTGTCCCTGCTCATGGGTCTGTCTCTCTGTCTAAACTTCTTTTTATTTGATTGATAAATATATCTTTATTGATTTCATAGAGAAAGAAAGAGGGAGAGAGAGCTAGAAACATCAATCACGAGAGAGAATCATTGATCGGCTGCCTCCTGCATGCCCCACACTGGAGATCAAGCCCCCAACCCGGGCATGTGCCCTGTCCAGGAATTGAACTGTGACCTCCTGGTTCATAGGTCAACGCTCAACCACTGAGCCAACTGGCCGGGCTAAACTTCTTTTTGATTGATTGATTGATTGATTGATTGATTGATTGATTAAATATATTTTTATTGATTTCAGAGAGGAAGGGAGAGGGAGAGGGAGATGGAAACATCAATGATGAGAGAGAATCATTGATTGGCAGCCCTCTGCACGCTCCCTACTGGGGATGGAGCCCACAACCCAGGCATGTGCCCTTAACCAGAATCAAACCAGGGACCCTTCAGTCCACAGGCTGCCGCTTTATTCACTGAGCCAAACCAGCTAGGGCTAAACTTATTTTTATAAAGACACTAATCACATTGGATTAGGGCCACCCTAATGACTTCATTTCAACTTGATCACCTCTGTAAAGACCCTATTTCTAAATAAGGTCATTAGGAGGTACTAGTGGTTGAGACTTCAGCATACCTTTTGAGGGTAGACAATTCAATTATACTACCACCCTACCAGCCCCACCTCACCTCCAAGCACTTGTTGGGGGAGGCCAAGGACAGTGTTAAGTATATATTGGACTCAGGCATCTCCCTGGTGATGTGGCCTGGATGGAACACAGAAGGTTCACATCTCACTTCTTCCTTCTTTGTCCTCCCACCAGCCTATCCTTCACACCACCAAAATCGAAGTGGGGTACAGGCAACTCTCAGTCACAGGAGGAGCCACAGGAGGTTGACTCCTGGCACCCATCCTTCACAGTCACTTGACTGTGGTCCTTTCCCCTCTCTGGGCCTCATTTTCCCTATCGTGAAATATAAGTGTTGGGTGAGACACAGACATATGGCTGTTAGGTATGAGGAGCATTGCATGAACTTGTCACTCATCATTGACCTGAAGCTCACAGGTGATATGCTATTTTCCATGAATTAAAACAGATTCAAGATTGTTTCTATAATAGGATATATCCCAGTCACTTGAGTTCCACATTGCCTTCCTGAGTAAGAAGAAAAAAAAAGGGTTTGGAGTTATGTGGAGTGCACTGGAAATTCTGCATAACCCCAAGTCATCTTATCTGGGACCCATGGGAGCATGTGAATGTCATGGGTATGCATAAACGAAGTAGACAGTGGTTGGGCTGAGTGAGGGCAAAACTTCTTCCCAGCCCGGCCGGTGTGGCTCAGTGGTTGAGCATCCACCTATGAACTGGGAGGTCACAGTTCAATTCTGAGTCAGGGCACATGCCCAGATTTCGGGTTCGATCCCCGGTGTGGGGGCGCACAGGAGTCAGCCAATCAGTGATTCTCTCTCATCATTAATGTTTCTTTCTCTCCCTCTCCCTTCCTCTCTGAAATTAATAAAAATGTATTAGAAGAAGAAAAAAAAAACTTCCCAATTAAACATGCCTGCTCGCTGACCACTAGGTTGCTGACCTCATGATTCTCACAGTGACCTCCAGAGCCTTGAGTGGGGCTCCTTCATTTCCTTTTCACGTTAGGCTCCGCATGACCACTGATGTTTGCAGGAAGAGGCGTCCACCACGGGACTGTTGGAACTTCTGCCTCCACCTTCCAGCTTCTCCCACCAGCCCTGGCTCTGACCTCAAGGGCCACACGAGGCTCAGGTGCTCTGCTCTCTCCATACAAACACTGCAGCCACGTGGAGAAAGCCACCAGGCCTGTCCTGGGCCTGCGCTTCTCCTACTCCTCCAGCTGGCTCTGATTTCCAGAAGTCTCTGGCAAACCTGCAGCTTGTCTACTTTCCTCGTAGCACGTGTCACCCTCCTCTGGGTGCCAGACATCGTACTCCAAGTGATCAGAATCCAGATTATCACCTCTTGCCTCAAAACTTCTACCTTTATTTTTTCATTGAATTTATTGGGGGTGACATTGGTTTTCAAAACCATATAGGTTTTAAGTGTACAACTCAATAAAACATAATCGACTCACTACATCGTGTCCCCATTACCCCAAGCAAAGTCCTTTTTAGTCCCCATTTTTCCTCCCTTTGCTCACATCCACCTAGCCCCAACCCTCGTTCCCTCTGGCTATCACCACACTGTTGTCTGTGGCTATGTGTTATATGTGTACTCGAGGCCCGATGCACGAATTTACTAGTATGCATGGGTGGGGTCCCTCGGCCTGGCCAGCAATCAGTCCCGATCGGGGCCTATTGGGTCCGGCTGGCTGGGGAGGGACTGCAGGAGGGCTCCAGGGCGTGTTTGGCCCTCTCGCCCAGTCCTAATGGGCCCAGCAGCAACTAACCTACCTGTCGGAGCATCTGCCCCCTGGTGGTCAGTAAGCATCATAGCAACTGGTTGAGTGGTCAACAGAATGGTCAACCGATTGGTCAGACACGTAGCATATTATGCTTTTCTTATATAGGATATGTTTTTTGGTTAACCCTTCACCTTCTACATCCAGTGCTCCCCTCTGACAGCTGTCAGTCTGTTCCCTGTATCTATGCCTCTGTTTCTATTTTGCCCATCAGTTTATTTTATTCATTAGATTCCACATATAAGTGAGATCATATGGTATTTGTCTTTCTCTGACTGGCTTATCTCACTTAGAATAATAATCTCCAGGTGCATCCAAGCCATCAAAAAGAGGTAAAATTTCCTTCTTTTTCAGAGGCGCATAGTATTCCATTGTGTAAATGTACCACAGCTTTTGTTACCCACTCATCTGCGGATGGGCACTTGGGCTGTTTTCAGATCCTGGCTATTTTAAATAATGCTATAATGAATGTAGGGGTGAATATATTCTTTCAAATTAGTGTTTCCGGTTTCTTAGGACATACGCCCAGAAGTGACATCACTGGGTCAAAGCAGTTTCATTTTTAATTTTTTGAGGAAACTCCATACTGTTTTCCACAGTGGCTGTACCGTCTGCATTCCCACCAATAGTGCACAAGGGTTCCCTTTTCTTCACATCCTCACCAGCACTGGTTGTTTGCTGATCTGTTGATGATAGC